TCATCATCATCATCATCATCATCATCATCCTCATCATCATCATCCGAATCATCATCATCAGCATCAGCATCATCATCCGAGTCATCATCCGAGTCATCATCTGATTGAGGGCATGCGAACCGAATTTTTGTCCACCCCCCACACCCATCCCCACGCTGTTCGTTGTCCACACGGATTACTGTGAACAGTTGCCAATCAGAACATACGCACTTTACCGGGTACATGATTCGGTATCACATAGAGCGGGGATTTCTCCATCAGCCTCACCATCAATACCTAATCCGGGTTAACTTACACAGACCACCGTCATCGATCGATTCCTACACCGGATTGATGGCTGTCAGCTGTCTGTGACAGGTGAATTGTCCTTGGTTTGGAGGAACCAAGTGCTTACCTTTCCAGGCAGAGATGATGAAAAACGCAGTGAAATGAACACGTGTTAACAGTAGTAGTTTTTCAGATTGGATTTTTCCCAAAATTCATGTCTGTTTGTTTTTACATTTCACTTGTTTTGCATAGGTTGGTCAACTTTCACATGTTTGCCCGGGGTACTTTTGTCTCCGGTCGACAAGTCTAACTCAGGCACCAATGGTTATTGGTAATGAGCCGTTTAACCAACCTTTCCGATACTGTACAAATGTAGTTTGAACTGTGGTCGACAACCCATGCACAAACACACATCTAATGTAATTTTCTGTGGTAAAAATACTGCTACAAGCGGAATATCGATCGATCGCAGTTCACTTTCTGAGTAACTAGTAAGCTGATAAAGCGATCCTCATGTACACATTCAATTGTGCTGCGGTCGATATCAATCGGTTCCCAAATTGATGCAAACTGTATTTACTTTATCTTCCTTGCAAAAAATATTAATATCTTTTTATGAAAACAAACCAATTTTGTGCTCCCATCACTCGAAGATCAGCCATCCAGACCAATCCATGATCCGTCGCTAACATCCAATCCGCAATCACTAGCCCATCGTCGGGCAGTTGCTTCATTATCTCTCTCTGCTCTATCGTTACTGTACTTTGTTTTTTTTATTTTTTTTTAGTCTTCTGAGCTTTCCTCGGCAGTATCTCTTCCGGGAACTTTGGTCCACCCATCCCGTGCATAGACTTCTAGTCATTCTTATCAGATTTCAGTTCCCAGATTTTAAGCTTCTCTGCTCCAACCTTCTTTTCCCCCGAATTGGCAAGCTGTGTAACGCCCTCGCACTATCTGTCGTCCCCTAACTTACAACCTTACACTCTTTAAATGCAAAATCAATGAACTGGATCTAACGTGAATATTCCCCTACTCTTTATTTTACACCATATTCTTTGTCTATTGGGATTTCCTCTTTTATTGTAGTGCACATTTTTTTTGAATTATTTGGATAAAAACTGTGAAAATTCACACAGAAGCTAGGACAATCCAAATGTCGGTGATGATTCTATTTCGCTTATTCTATCAAATCGCAAAACAACAATATCAATGGAATATTTAGAATTCACTCGTCTATGAAATCATTTCCAATTTAGACATCTTTTAGCATTCATCAATGTTGTCGTCAGACAGGAAGGCTTCGATCGGTATTTTACCAGGTGTTTGTTTTTGTTCTCGATTTTGTTTCCCAATGCCTGCCTGTAAACCTGATGAGGCTCGGCTGATTGTGAAAACACTTCGGTATACTCGGTGACTCCTCCCGAACAGACGTGAGCACATAGCTAATTATTTGAGAGGACACTGAAGGCCTTGTCTACAACTGCTTCATTCACATCTTAGGACGCAAAGCTGATCGATCAGGTATAAACCTTTGTTCCAAGTATTTTAAAATGTGATGTGGATGGCCAGTCCGGTATCCTCCTAACAAGGTTAGCGAGACTGAAAATTCACTGCGTAACTGGAATCACGTAGTCCACTACCTATGCGAAAGCGATCGATACAGAAATTTTTCGAAACTCGCTTGCATTCTTCTTAGACATTTTTCCCAGTTTGACCGCACGCAGTATTAAGCGATCAGCGGTACTATCCACGAATTTCACATGGTACAGTGGAGTATTTGACATTGTTTAGTCTGGATGTTTGGTCATACTTAACTCCTACCTCACTAGTCCAGTCTACAATCAATCCCTAAGAGACCCGCTGCGTCTGATGCGGTAAATTTAATAAAGAAAGACGAATCTCTACCAGATTAGAGGTCGAAATTGAAAGCCCNTGAAAGCCCATTTGCTAATTAATCAATTCTAGTTCTTTCCGTTAGCTGAAATTAGGCCCGACTGGGTCAAAACCTGTTTGTTAATTCGGGTGAATAAGGGCGTTTAGTTTGGTTTCCCAAATACTTGACATCGAGAGGCCGTTTTCAAGAGGAAGTTTGAGTAGTCGAGTTGGATGAAGTGCGAACTCCGTCGCCCTTCCCCCTCTCATATATTCATTGTTTTCTTGTCCCGCAGTAACTGTTGAATCATACTGAAAATTCATCCAGCAAGTTAGACAAAACAGTTCCTGAGTATCAGCAGCAGCAGCGCCTCCTGGAAGTGCGCTGAAAATTGCCAAAGCTCACATAGAATCATTCCAGATATTCCGTAAATATTGTTCAACATAAAAAGCTTTTATTCGAAACAATCGCCTTTGTTCGCTATGACAACCGTGATGAGAGCTCGCAAATCATGCCGCAGCTCACTGGCATCGGACGTCACGTGATTGGTCGGCCTCGCAATTGAACAGTATCGACAAGGCCAATAATTATTGATCTATATTTCATCCATTGACCCCGAAAATCGTGTTGACAGAATTACAGTTCAGTGACTTGTGCTCTTCACAAACCAGAGGCGTACAGTTATAAAATCAACACCCATTCTATGTGACACATTGATAAGATTTGCTATGTGACCTTGAGAAACTTCATCCGAACAGCTTGCAAGCATTCGTCCTTCCGAGATGCACCCTCTCATGGTTTGCGACATTTTTTTCTTCGCGTGTCTTCAACTGATGTTCCTTGGGGTTAAGATCTGGTGATTCAGCAAGCTGATGGATGCAGAGCACGCTCATGACACGACTAGACCTCCTAATAACATTTTGCCAGGGTACTGTCTTCCTGGAAAATAAAGGCTGGTTTCTGTTCTATAGGCTGCTTTATTTACTCAATCAATATCTATGAGCCACAGGGATAGATCTGTTGACGACTGAATAAGTCTCCCAAAGGAAAACAGAACCCCATTTCTTTGAAATTTCCTCATGTGACCCGATTGTGCTCCACGCCAGTGCTACCCATTCTACCAGAGATTCTCGATAGCAGTCAGTCGGCAGAATAACTAACTCTTTCGTGGCCGTCGCGAATTCAAATTGCAGTCATTCACCACAAATTCAGAAGGGCAAATCGATTTTTTCACCAACTGTGCTGTTATCACGATTATTGTCATCGTGGTCGTCGCTGTCCCGCTCCTCCTCTTCAACTTCGCCATGATCAACATCAGCAGCAGCACTTTGACTTCCCCATAATCTGTCCACAATAATATTAGGACACATGCGTATACTTGGGCTGACCTGAATAACTGCACTGATGATGGGATGAACCTGTCCTGTACTGGCACATGTCACCGTGACCACAAGCATTGCACACACATACACAAAC